ACATCTCTGAGGATTGCCGGGTTCAGTGACAGTGTTAATGAAAGCCTCAAGTGACCCAATACAAGCAGAATAACCAAAGACTCAAGACCCTTCAGGAATGAAGTTTGGGTCACCTCATTAAGTAAAGGAACTAAAGGAACATGAATGGGTATGGAAGAAAGAAGCTGTAAATATCAATCCAGGGTCAACAGATAAAATACAGGATGCTCAGTGTCAAAAAGGAAAACTTTAGCCCAGGTAAGTTTCACAGTGTTTAACTGAGCAAAGAACAATTCAAGAATTGGGCAGCCTCTCATGCCAGAGTGGGCTCAGAGACGCCAGTGTAGCCACGTGGTGGAAGATTTACGGACAGAAAGGAAAATGAAGTACAGAAAACATAAGTGAGATACAGGAAACAGCCAGACTGGTTACAGATTGGTGTTTCCCTTATCTGAACACAGTTTGAACAGTTGGCCACCTTTGATTAGCCAAAACTCAGTGACTGCCACAAGTGTTGGCTACAGTCTGCTTACAAGTCCATTTAGGTTATAGTTCACAATGTACAGAGAAACCTTTAAGCCAGACTTAAAATATGGAAGAAGGCAGCTTTAGGCTAAACATGATTTAACACTGGTGATAGCCCGGGCACAGTGGCTCACACCTGTAACCCCAGCACCTTGGGAGGCTGAGGCAGGTGGATCACTTGAGGCCAGGAGTTGGAGACCAGTCTGGCCATTATGGCAAAACCTTGTCTTTACTAAAAATACAAAAATTAGCCAGGTGTGGTGGCACGCACCTATAATCTCAGCTACTCAGGACGTTGAGGCACGAGAATGGGTTAAACCCGGGAGGCGGACGTTGCAGTGAGCCAGGATCACGCCACTGCACTCCAGGCTGGGCAACAGAGCAAGACTGTCTCAAAAACAAAAACAAAAACAAAACAAAAACCCACCAATTATATCTGAACCTTGGAGAAACACCTATTGGTTTTTTAGTATAAGTATGTCCTATTAACAACTAAAAAAATTCATTGTTTCTCCAAAATTCAAATTTAAATGCAAATCCTATATAATATTTTTATTTGCTAAACCTAGCAACCCTAATTAGGGCCTTGTAACCCATTGCACAAACGATTCATACTTTCTTCCTTCCATGTAAAATAGAGATTAAGCAATATCTTTCCCCTTGTTTCATATAAAGTGTATTATTGATAATCGTTAACTAAAAAAAGAAACTCAATATACACAGTTTATACATTTTGAAAGGAGGAGACTTTATTTCTTATAAAGGGTTAGGCTGGGCTTGGTGGCTCACACCTATAATCCCAGCACTTTGGGAGGCCGAGGCAGGAGGATCACTTGAACCCAGGAGGCCTTAACCAGCCTGGACAACATAGTGAGACCCCATCTCTACACAAAATTTTAAAAATTAGCCGGGTGTGGTGGCATGCACCTGTAGTCTTAGGTACCTGGAGGCTGAGGCAGGAGGATCACTTTGGCCCAGGAGTTTGAGGGTGCAGTGAGCTATGATCGCACCGCTGCACTCCAGCCTCAGAAAGGGAGTGAGACCCGCTGGGAAGCATGCCTCCAGTCAAGACCAGAGACAGGAACTTCAAAGGAGGAGGGGTTAGGGTAGGAGCTTCATGCTCAATGGATTGACTAAACATACCTATTCAATAGGTTACATGAGGAGCTATGAATATTCATGAAGGTGGTTCTGACACACGCATATTGAACAAACATGCATGTAACATACAACCCATGGTCACTCTGGGGTGAAGACTTAACATTTACATGTATTATAATTAGGCCCTATATGGCAAAATGTCTTTTCAGGACACAAAGACATGCAAGTGCAGGAGCTCTGTAAGCCAGCCAGAACCAGTCCATGGTGGGTGGTCATCTTGTCAGGAAGAAATTACTGAAATCAGTCTTGTCCAACCAAAGCTGTAGTTATGGCTGGTGAAACAGTGGCTGGAGGTCAGTCAGTCAGCATCTGGTGGAGCTGAAAATGTTTTTAATATTGCTTATCTCAAAGCCAGTGCTTGGGCCGAGTGCGGTGGCTCACGACTGTTATCCCAACACTTTGGAAGGCCGAGGCGGGCAGATCACCTGAGGTCACAAGTTCAAGACCAGCCTGGCCAATGTGGTGAAACCCCATCTCTACTAAAAATACAAAAATTGGCCGAGCGTGGTGGCGGACACCTGTAATCCCAGTTACTCAGGAGGCTGAGGCGGGAGAATCACTTGAACCCAGAAGGCAGAGGTTGCAGTGAGCCAAGATCACGCCACTGCACTCCTGCCTGGGTGACAAAGTAAGACTCCGTCTCAAACAAAAAAACAAAAACAAAAACACACAAACAAAAAAAAAGTGTTTGTTTTTAAGCTTTTTAGCTGCTACAGAAAAAAAAACCCAAAAAACCCTTGTGCAGTTAGAACATAGTTTATTCATAAGTGGGGGGCAGGGGAGGCAGAGTGTGAAGGGGGGCCCTACATGACTTAACCCTTGCTTGGCATGGCCTTAGGTCCTGTTTACAATTTGGTATCTTATGCCACAGAGTCTGTTCTGTCCATCTCATGATCCCTATTTTGTTCATTCATGCTGGGCAGTTGTGTCTAAACCATAAAGGGATGGGGTATAACAAGTTGCATCTGACCTCCCAGCCTGTCAGGGCCAGGAATTAGGTTTTTTCTGAGGTCCCCTTGGCCACGAGGTGGCATCTGTTCAGTCGGTGGGGTTTTAGGATTTTTAGTTTACATAACTAATTTGATAATCCAGGGCATTTGTTACAGCGTATCAAGGTGAGATTATGACTCAGCTATTTAGCACCTCCATGGCAACATGTACTTCCCCAACTGTCATGGCAGAGGAAGAGAGGGCTGGAAAAATGAGCACTGGCAATGACATACTGTGCCCCAAAACTGACCCCCTTCACATTTTTCTTTTTTTTCTTTTTGAGAGGAGTCTCGCTCTGTCATTCAGGCTGGAATGCAGTGGCCCGATCTCAGTTCACTGCAACCTCCACCTCCCAGGTTCAAGCGATTCTCCTGCCTCAGCCTCCTGAGTAGCTGGGATTATGGGCACGCCACCACGCCCAGCTAATTTTTGTATTTTTAGTAGAGACGGGTTTCACTATGTTGGCCAGGCTGGTCTCGAACCCCTCACCTCAGGTGATCAACCCGCCTTGGCCTCCCAAAGTGCTGGGATTACAGGCATGAGCCACCCCGCCCAGCCCTTGACCCCCTTCACATTTCATTAGCCAGAGCTGGACTTGTGGCCAGACCTGCCTTGAAGGAGGCAAGGAAAGGTATGTGAACATAAGCAACATCCACACAGGTGGACAAAGTGACCCATGTGACTTTGGTTCCCTCTCTTTAGGAAGAATTTTTGGATGTACTTGGGACAGTTACAGGCATGCTGCTATTGCCATGATCTTCGGGAAGCTGAAGTGATGAGCAGCAGTGTGTGATTCTGAGAACACAGAGGGCTGGGGTCTAGAAGCTATCTCAGGTGGGCTCACTCAGTGCCATCCTCCCTCTTGGTGCCTCCCTAGGAATGCTGAGAAGATGCAAAACCAAAAGCTTTTACTCCAACATTGCTTAGCCAAGCTAAACACATGCATTCCCTATGATTTAACAATTCTGCTCCTAGTATGTATCACAGAGAAATTGTCCCATGGGTCCATAAGGGCATATAAGAACGGCCATTGCAGCACAGTTCTGGTTGGGGTCGGGGGAGCTGAAGGTCATGTGGTGTCCACCACTGGAGGAATGGATGGATAAAATGGGATGGATGCACAGGTGGGCAGATGGGTGAAAGGATGGTCAGTCCTCACGTGGACTAGTTACCTTACTCTTAGGCTAACAATTAGCATCTCCAGGCAAAAAGAAAACGTTTCTGGATTCCCTTGCCACTGGAGTTCTGTGGAAGAGAGAAATGGAGTCCACTAATGAGATGCCCTTTGAAGGATGTGGATGGAGGAAACAGGGCCAAGCAAGTTTGCCCTGCGGGCCCAGCCTTGGGGATATTCAGTCCTTCTGCAGCAGCATCAAGCTTCTGGCTTTGTGGGTGTCAGGAGGCAGGAGTGGCAGTTGCACCCCAAGTCCCAGGGCCCAAGCACAGCTTCCGGGGTGCTTAGAGGGGGTGGATGGCAGGCAGGACAGTATGTTCTGATCTCAGCTCCAGTGGGAGCCTCCTGGAGGTGACTTCTCCAGCCTTCCCATGTACTTTGTTAAGTACCCTGATTCCCTTAAATTCCCTTCTGCCAAAAACAGCTGGAGAAGTTTCTGTTTCCTGAAACTGACCCCTTCCTGATTGGGAAATGACTTGCCAAGGTGACAAAGCAAGTTACTGTCACATCTCAAATTTGAGACAGGCCTCCTGACTCTACCTATTAACAGTCCCACTGTCCCAGGCCGGTTTTTTGTTTTTAGGGTTTTTTTTTTTTTGAGACAAAGCCTCGAGTGGCGTGATCTTGGCTCACTGCAACTTCCGCCTCCTGGGTTCAAGCAATTCCCCTGCCTCACCCTCCCAAGTAGCTGGAATTATAGGTGCCCACCACCATGCCCGGCTGATTTTTGTATTTTTATTAGAGACAGGGTTTCGCCATGTTGGCCAGATTGATCTCGAACTCCTGGCCTCAGGTGATCCACTCACCTCAGCCTCTCAAAGTGCTGAGATTACAGGCATGAGCCACCACACCCAGCTCAGGCCCGTCTTTCCTCTCCTAGCCTGCCCCAGTCAGAAGGATCAGGAGGGGTAAAGCTGGCCCATGGGGAACCTGTGGCTGGGAGCCCACGAGGCAGGGGCAGCAGAAGGTGGCAGAGAGGGTTGAACCTCTGTGACCCTGGCTGTCTGCTCTGATGGCATGGTAATGGAAACCTGCTACCAGATGACAAAACACTATTACCAAACAGCTGGGTGACCTTAGGAAAATCACTCAACCGCTCCTGCCTACAGATTTCCTCACCTGCGGGGCCCTGCAGAGCTGTTGCAAGGATGAAATGAGGCAACGTATATGTGCCTGGCAGCAGAGCTGACCCCACACAGCTCAATCCTCAGTGTTTGCATGTTTGGGGAAAAAAAACAACTAGAGGAACTAGTTCTTCTTACCTGGGAAGATTCCTGAGCACAAATTAGATTTCTTAGGGGCTGAGATTAGAAAAAGCTTAGTCTCAGCTCTTAGACCTTATCAGCAGGCCCTTCCTAGAGCTGGCTCTAATCGGCATAGCTTGGGAAGCTCTCTTCCTGGGGAAGAAATCACCTAGCCACTGCAGCCTTTCTGTTTCTGGCTTAGGTCCACTGGCCTGCCTGGCGTGAGCTCCCTGGGGCAGGGAGCCTGCAAACCTTGGGAGTGGAGAAGCGCTGGCTTGGCCGGGTGTGGTGGCTCACACCAGTAATCCCAACACTTGGGTGAGGCTGAGGCAGGAGAGTCGCTTAAGCCCAGGAGTTCGAGACCAGCCTAGGAAACGGGGAGATCCGGTCTGCAAACAATACAGTGGTGACTCACACCTGTAGTCCCAGGTACTAAGGAGGCCAGCTGAGATGGGAGGATCACCTGAGCCTGGGAGGCAGAGGCTGCAATGATCCCTAATCGCACCACTGCACTCCAGAGCCAGAGTGAGATCCTGTCTTTAACCTCCCCTAAAAACAAAGAAAGAAAAGTACTGTCTGATAGGTCAGGAGGTCCACACTAGCTCCAGCCTCCTTCCTAAATCACTGGGCGGCCTTGGGCAAGGCCAGACCCTCTCTGGGAAGCAGAAAGGAGATTTTCCCCCTGCCTCCTGGGCAGGGATTGTGGAGAACGCTAGTGCGTCTGGGTGAGAAGGCACTCTGCAGCTCTGCAGTGCTGGGTTCTGTCTGGAAGCCTTCTCAGGGCCTAGGACCCTGCTACGGTTTGAATGTTTGTCCCCTCCCACACTCATGTTGAAATGTAATTGCCACTGTAACAGTGTAAGATTAGACCCTAAGAGGTGGTCAGGCCACGAGGACTCTGCCCTCCTGTGTGAACTCAGGCTGTTATCTTGGGAGTGGGTTCGCTCTCCCCTCACTCCTGCCATTCTGTCCAGTGTCATGGGATGATGCAGAAGGGTCCTCACTGGGCTCCGGGCCCTCAACTGTGGACTTCCCAGCCTCCAGAGCTCTGAGCCAATACATTCCTGTTTATTATAACTTACCCAGTCTCAGGTATCTTGCTAAAGCAGCAAAAACAGACTAAGACAAACTCTCACCCCCATGAGCCTGCTCCCAACCGGGGCCCAAAAGAAAACAAGCCAGCGAGGGCACTGGGGAATGCAGGGTTTTGGGGAAAGAGCTACAGGAGTGTGCCTTGGCCCCCACAAGGGCCACAGTCCTGCCCCCACCTGGTCTCCCAGGGCTCAGAGAGCAGCCGCCAGCCCACGGAGGTAGTCCCCCACCAGGGGCAGCACAGCCCAGTCATCAGTCCGCAGGGCCACAGGCACTCCGTCTGCCAGGGCCGCCTCTAGCCGCAGCAGCAGCTTTGAGTTCGGGGGCAGGTGGATCGCTACATAGTAGCTGGTAGGGGGCTGGGCCACCACCACGAAAGGCTCCAGGTGGTGGGACACCAAGCCCTCCAGGCCCTGTGGCCCAAGTGGACACCACACACGACTCTCGGCACCCTCTGGCAGGCAGGAATCCCAGAGCTCCTCAAAGAAACCCAGCCCAGCACCCCCTGGGGGCTTCGGGAAAGGCAGAAAGAGGTCGGCAAAGTTGACGAACAGGGGTGGCAAGTGGGCATGGCACGTGAGACCAGTGGATGTGGTGTAAAGGGCGTGGACATCCAGCCGTGCGGGGGCCGGGCATCGGGGCTGCAGCGGCAGGAGCAGAGGGCGGGCAGGGCGACCAGGACACAGGCAGGGCACATGGACAGCCTCCAGGGGTGCATATAGCTGCCCTTCTACACGGAAGCGCAGCTCCAGACAGTAGATGGGCTCCAGCGCCTCCGGCTGCAGCTTCAGCACTGGGAGTGGGCCCTTGACCCCATGGGACCCCACGCTCAGCCGTACCAGGGCCGGGGCCTCCTGCACCATCAGTGCTGCCACAAAGCCCTGGTTCTCGGCCACAAGTGAAGAGGCCAGTGCAGGTGGGGCAAGCGAGGGGCCCAGGGCCACCCCCAACTTGGGTCCAGCCAGGTGTGCCAGGAGGATATAGTAGAGACGGGCATGGTCACGCCCATCAGGGTCCTCCAGCTGCCTGGCCAGCACCTGCAGCAAGTCAACCAGGCCACCCCTCACCCCTGCCCGCAGCAGCGCCCGGCAGACCCGCAGTAGGCCCTGCTGTAGGTCCCAGTTCATGCAGTGGGCAGCTGCGGCCTGTAGAAAGTTGAGAGTAGCACTCTGGGCATCTCCATCTGCCACCTTTGCCAGCATTTTCAGGTGCCAGCAAAGAGCTTCATCCCTGCCCGGCCTGGACACCACCTCCTGCCGCAACACCACCTTCAGGGGCTCCCTCAGCTCAGAGTCCACCTGATCCAAGAAGTCCACAAAGTGGGAAGCCAGCATGGGCCGGACTCGGTATAGCTGGGCCAGTCCGTGGATCAAGGGGGTCAGCACTGTAGGTTGCCCAGCCAGGCAGCGGGTCACCAGATATGAGGCCTGGAAGCAGACAGTGGCCAAGGCCCGGGGGCCCTCATCCAGGGCTGCCCGCTGCCGCAAGCCAGCCAGCAGCTCTTCCAGGTAGTGCCGTGGGCTTGGAAGCTGGCCTTTCTCCTCTTCTTCATCCTCAGCACAGAGCAGGCATAGCAAATGCAGGCGGGCTAGGAGAGCCATTGGGTCATGCAGGAGACTGGGCAGAAGACCACGGCATAGCTGAGGCCCTAGCAGCAGTGGGGCAGCCTCCTCACCTTCGGGGCCCAGCGGCCAGTTCTCAGGGAAGCTCAGGAGGCAGTGCAGGTAAAAGAGATGGGTGGGCGGAGGCAGAGCAGGGTGCTGGGCAGCCAAGGTGAGCCGGCGGAGCAGCAGCGCTTCATCCTGGGCTGTGAACAGGGCCTCACCAAAGGCCGCCTTGAGGGCAAGCACGGCGTGCAGCAGTGTCAGCTGTGCTGTGCCTAGCAGCCGTACCAGCTGCGGCTTGAAGAGTGCGGGTGGCTGTCCCTGCAGACCCCGCAGGGCCCAGCCCAGCAGCCACAGGAGCTGGGCCTGGGCCACAGGAGTGAGCAGATAGGAGGTGTCCAGAAGCTGGATCACCGCAGCCCGCAGCTCCCGCGCCTCCTCAGGGCTGTGCTCTCGTGCTGTAAGACTACGCTCCCCCTCTCCCTCCTCAGCTGCCGGCCAGCTGGGTGCTTGGGGCTGAAGGCGTCCATCGCCCTCCTCCACTAATGTCCAATCCCAGGGACCACCCCCAGTTGGGGAGACCTTATCCGTGAGCAGTCCCCCTAGGCCAGCCCCAACCCGGGACTGGAGCACCAAGGTGTTGCGCAAAGCAAGGGCCAGCAGCAGGCTGAGCGGCTGGACGGGGCCTTCCTGCCCCAGCAGGCCCCGTAGCAGCCCCAGGGAGCCCCCCAGCAGCCCGGGCTTGCAGCTCTCTAGCTCTCGCAGGCACTCGCAGGCGGTGGCCTGCAAGGGGCGCTGTTCCGAGGCGGGGACAAAGCCTCGCCCCAGATCGCTGCCTGCGTGCGCCAGCGAGCAGTAGAGCACCGGCAGAGACGCGCCGAGGTGCCAGCGCGCGCCGCCAGGGCTGTTGTGGCCTCAGCAGCAGGGGCGCACGGAGAAGCTGAGGGCCGCGGGTCCTGTAGGAGGACCAAGGTGTCCAACAAGCGACGGTTTGGCGTCCACCTCGGCCGGCAGAGCGTCCGGGCACAGCCTGGCTGCGAGCGCTACGCCCACGCTCGCAGCGGCCCAGCAGGGAACTGGATAGGATTAG